TCAGTGCCGGGGGGCAGAGTATCTTGTCAGGTACAACAGACATAGTCATCAATCCAGAGTCAATCTAGAGGAGCATACAAATCATTACAAGCATTCTGTAACATTTCCCTTTTTGAGAGAAAAAATGTATTAGTTCTTACCTTTGCATTCATAGTGTACTCTTCTAACACAGACTCTTATGAAAAAGGGAAACGTACTGAATGGATGCATTACACTTCTCTGAGTGCTCCCTATATGAAATCACTCTACACAAACAATCCTCAAAAAGTAGTATGCTAGGGGCCAGTGCTGTGGCGTAGCCGGTAAAGCTACTCCCTGCAGTGCCAGCATCCCATATGGGTGCTGGTTTGAGACCTCCAACTCTCTGCCATGGCCTGGGAAAGCAGTGGAGGGTGGCCCAAGTCCTTTGGTCCCTACACCCATGTGGAAGACCTGGAGGAAGCTTGGATTGGCACACCTCTGGCCATTGTAGCCATTTGGGGAGTGGGACAGTGGATGGAAGACTTCTCTCTCTCACCTCTGCCTCTCTGTGACTCTTCCTTTCAAATAAATAAATAAATCTTTAAAAATAGTGCATTAAGGAAGCCATCACTAGGCAAAAGACTATACTTCAATAACTCAATACATTTAAAAAAGCTTTAAATTAGCATGAAACCCTGGATAGAAGTCAAAGACAATTTTTATGCTCACTTGTGCTCTTAGAATATCAGAACCTGGAAGAAAGTCCAAGTGAATTTTTACTAGCTCTGGCTGTGGCAAACAGAGTATAACACAACAGAGTGATGTAGTGAGTATGTACTAAATGGATTAATGCTACTGAAGTTCCAACAGCAACAAGAGACCCATTTCTGGTTGTGCCAGTATAAACTCTAGTGCAAGATCCCAGGCAGGTTAAGATTGATCCAGGCTCAAGGGCAATCAAATGTAGAGTTAGAGAAAACTTCTTCCGTGAGACATTTCCTAAAATGCCATTCTGAGGTATTATAGCTGTTGATTCTTTTTTGTATTTTTGTCCTCCTACTAGATTTAGCCAAATCACTTAACACTTCTAAGCTTTGATGTCTTCCTTCTGTCCTCTGAGGGTTAAAATCTGCCTCAAATTTATTTATTTATTTATTTATTTATTTATGTTCATTTGAGGGGCAGAGAGAGAGAAAGAGAGAGAACAAACTACCCCATCTGCTGGTTCAAATGTCTACAACAGCCCAAGCCAAAGCCAATAGCCAGGAAGCTAGAAACTTCTAGACCTCTACACGTGTGACAGGAAACCAACTACTTGAGCCTCACTTTGCTTCTCCCAAGGTCTGCATTAACAGAAAGTTGAAATCAGGAGCAGAGCCAGGACTCGAACCTGGGCACTCTGATATCTGATGTGGGCATCCAAAATGGCATCTTAACCACTAGGCCAAATGCCAACCCCGTGATTACAATGATTACATGATTAGAATTTGAAAGTTTCTAACAGCAGGCCTGACACATAGAGATGCTCAACAAAGGTGGATTCTTTTTCTCTGTTTAATTTTATTCACTGGGCTTCTCTTCCTGCTAGCTGGAATTTTAAATATATTATATCCCCATAAATTTCTCTCAGAATAACTTGGCTGTGCCGAGCTTCCAGTGAAAACAGACCCAGGCCGGCGCCACAGCTCACTAGGCTAATCCTCCGCCTTTCGGCGCCAGCACACCGGGTTCTAGTCCCCGTCGGGGCACCGGATTCCATCCCGGTTGCCCCTCTTCCAGGCCAGCTCTCTGCTGTGGCCAGGGAGTGCAGTGGAGGATGGCCCAAGTGCTTGGGCCCTGCACCCCATGGGAGACCAGGAGAAGCACCTGGCTCCTGCCATCGGATCAGCGCGGTGCGCTGGCTGCAGCGCGCCGGCCGCGGCGGCCATTGGAGGGTGAACCAACGGCAAAAGGAAGCCCTTTCTCTCTGTCTCTCTCTCACTGTCCACTCTGCCTGTCAAAAAAGAAAAAAAAAAAAAGAAAAAAAACCAGACCCTTTGTGTTGCTCAGTGTTCTTCCCTGGGGACAAACTCATGCTCTCCAAAATAAGGAAGCAATCAAATTCCAAGATCTGGAAGATCCAAGCCAATGTTTGACTGGCTCTAGCAAGGTTATTCCACATGTATTGAATCTATACAACATGGAAGGAGAGTGAATTGTGCTTCTTTCAGAATTCCACACATTTCACAAAAGAATGAGATGACCTTGTTACTAAACTTGTACTATACTTGGTATTATGAGGGAGATATTCCAGATGTAACAAAATAAAGCAATGAGTAGATTAATGGCACCTGCAGGGGACTGGACACCCCCAGCTGACAGACCAATCCAGATATCTTGATTTCCCTTTCTTTATCATTCCTGCAGTGAGGACTCAACAAGCCAACCCTGATTCCAGTGACTCTTCATCTCTATAACAGATGGTTGTGAGATCTCCATCTGAGCGAGAGTAACCTACCTCTCTCAACCTTGAATAAAGGACTGCATAGATTTACCAGACCCATGCTACAACTTACCTTAGGTTTAGAATTAAACTACAGCCTATATTTATAGAATTACTGCCTGGGAAGTCCTCTAAGAGGGAAGAAAGTATTTCAAGTCATGCCTGAAGCACTTCTCTTAATGATGGCCCAACTCTAACCCTTGACATCTTGAAGGTACACTGACCAGTGTCCTAGCTGTGCACACTTGGATTTTTCTAGAATATGTCTCTGTCATAAATTATTTGTTTTCTTCCATGTTTGCTTTTAGTTCTCTCAGATGTAAAGGATGACTTGTTGGCAGCAATAACAATTACCTTTCTGTCCATCTAACTACAGGAATTTAGAAAACAGTTTGTTTTAGTGATAGAAAATTCTATCATTGCATAACCAGCAAGAAAAAAACATGTTGTGCCATGCTTCCTCTTTGAGAGCTAAGTCCCTCGTACTCTAAGGGAGAGCTTCATTATACAGCTCTTTTCTATCACCAGCCTTTCTTTAGTAGAAAACAGTTTAATGTTTGACAGCTCTGAATCGCTTTTTCCCCTCTTTTCAACAACTCTTTAAACAGTCTGCTACAAAACAGGAAACCACACATCTCCACCCCAGCACAAGCCACCATATACCAACACCTCCCCTATCAGCTGGGATCTGCAGCATCTCTGCTTCTGAGTTTGGCCAGATGCCGGCTCCTACCTAGTAGGAAACCCCTTGAGGCACTCCCCAGTAGGTAGTCTCCCAGTCCTTCTCCAGAATATTCAGGATTTTATTTCTGGTTGCTTTGCACAGACCAAGCCCTCCCTCCTGGAGCTGCCTCCCCTGAGTCATTGCTACCATTCCTTGCTCTGACTTCCTCTTCTCTGCACAATTTTAGCACTTTCTTATCATGAAGTTTGTTTTAAAGGAGAACTGCTTCCCTGAAAAGTAAACTGGAGAGGGCAGTTGCCTACTTTACAGATTCTCTGCATTGCTCATTGCCCACCAGGAGCCTCCTCGACCCCAAGGTATTTCAACTTACGTTCAGTGCTTCACGTCTCTGTCCGGGGCGCCTCTGTCTCTCAACTCTGACTTCTGAGTACTGGCAGTTAGAACAGGAAGGAAGTTAGTGAGAAAAAAAAAAACTGTCTTAAACCTACTTGAAGAGGAAGCCCTGGACTGTCTCAAATCCTGTTCTTTTGCACTGCCTATCTCTTCATCAGCCAACTCAGAGCAGCATTCTCGTCAATTAATGGCACATGTGGTAGCACGACAGACCATGTGACATGGATATGCATGAATGTGCATGCAAGGGTATGGGGCCTGTAGCCATGAGGATTATGAATAATTGTGCAGATATGTTTCAAAATCAAGTCCTCTCAGCACATAAGTGTGGGGAGGAAAGTAACCTAAACCCAGTAGCAATAAATTCTCACGGGCTCTACTTTGTATCACTAACTTCTGTTCCTATTGGGTCCCTGCCAGCTTCTTTATCAGCCAGTTATGTTGAAAGTTTGCTGGCAGTGAATGCGAAGTGGAAATTATGAGTGTTAACTCCATCTACTTGCTCCTAAATTTAGAAATTTGTCCTCAAAACAGATTTTTGGAGTTTTGTTGGTTATAATGTTAAGATGGAGCTCTGTATTGCACCACAAACAACTCAGGGTTGTTTATAGTGTTTGGTATTTTTTTTCTTCAAATGAAGCAAACAAAAAAGCTAAAGTGCTTAGAAATGTGGATTGCAAAATAAAGTAAAACTTCATTAATTTGTAGTTCTCTTACTCAGAATTTGTGCTAAAATTGACTTTGTATCACATTTGGGGAAATGGCTTATGATGTAATTTAAATGGGAACAAATTACAGAGGCCATATTTAAACCATTTGAGGAAACTAAGAATTTTTGAACACCCAAACCACATTAACTCTGTACATTTTATTCCATACTGCTGTTGCCAATGAGAAGTTCTTATTTGTACTAATAGTTTAATATTTACATTGTACTGATACATAAGGGCATGTGGGAAATTCATATTATGAAAAAAAGCTCAGCATGGAGATCAAGTTTATTTGCACCAAAATAACTTATCTTTAATTTCATTTCCCAAAAAGTTTTTGAAGTATTTTTCTTTAGAACTAATTAAGCAAATATATTTTGAGAAACTGACATTTATTTTGATTTCATCTAAATGTACTGCATTTTCTTCAGTTCATTTTGTAAGTTGATGACACATTATATTTTATTCCTGAAGTCAATGAAATAAAAATAATCATTTGTTGTGAGAAGAGAGATTATTCCAGAAAAATGTAAAAAAGGAAAATATATATAATGAATACTGGTAAAAATACTAAAAACCTTATATAGATTTAGTGTTAAATCTAAAAATAATGTAGAAGATAGCCCTTGAAACAAAGTACGTAATTTTATTACAAATAAAAGCAAGTCCTAATACACATGAAAGGGAGGCACACTTTTTAGTTCTGCACTGTCCAGAAGGGACACATTGCTTCATTCAGTTTATCTCTTGAGCATCTGTTCTCTTCTAGGTGCTGTTGTATACACTGACGTACAACAATGGACAACAGAAAATTACTGTGGAATTCATGTTTCAGTAGGAGACAGACAATCAGAAACTAACATAGGTAAAGTAAACTAACTGGATCAAGAAAGATTTAAAAATCAGAAATGATGAAGTCATGGTCTAGATATCACTCCCCCATTTCTCATGCCTTTAGGGAGGACAGTACTAGTCAAACATGATATTTTTCTTTTATTCTGTAAAGGTTTCCTCTATTTTTCTTTAAAGGTTTATTTTTATTCCTTTATTCTTTTTTTTAATTATTTATTATTTATCTGAAAGGCAGAGTTACAGAGGCAGAGGCAGACAGGAGGTCTTACATCCACTGGTTCACTCCCCAAATGGCTGCAACAGCCAGAGCTGGGCTGATCTTGAGCCAGGAGCCAGGAGCTGCTTCTGGATGCAGGGGCCCAAGGACTTGGGCCATCTTCTGCTGCTTTCCCAGGCCATAGCAGAGAGCTGGATCAGAAGTGGAACATCCGGGACTCGAACCAGCACCCACATTGGATGCTGACAATGCAGGCGGCACCTTTACCCACTAAGCCACAGCACCGGCCCCAGTACTCCTTTATTCTTTAAAGCTTTATTTTTATTTATTTGAAAGGTAGAATAACATATACACATGCATGCGCACACACACATAGGGGGAGAAAGTGAGAGTGAGCAAGAGAAAGAGTAAGCGTCCATCTGCTGGTTTACTTCCCAAATGGCCACAACAGTCTGGGCTGGGCCAGGCCAAAGGCAGGAATCAGGATCTCCTTCTGGGTCTCCTGTGTAGATGCTGGGGCCCAAATACTTGGACCACCACCCGCTGCCTTCCCAAGTACATTAGCAGGGTACTGGATCGGAAGTGGAGCAGCTTGGACTCTAACTGGTACTCAGAAGGGATGCTGGCATCACAGGTGGTGGCTTAATCCACTGCGCCACAGAACCTGCCCTTCACAAGTTTTCTTAATGCAGAACCTTAGGCACAGACGTTCGAGGATATGCAAGCCCCCAGAATGTCTGCAAAATCAGTACATATATGCATAGTATGTTTACATTTGTGGGAAAGGCAAAGGCATTCATAATTTCATCAAATTATGAGGTCTATAACCTCAAAAGGATTGGCAATTACATTTAAATCCTTCTCTTGATGATACAATGCTGGATTTTCAGTAAGTTGGAGAGCAACTGCCAGGATCTCCCAAGATAGCTCCCAGCATCACAGGACAGTCTCCTCAAAGTTACCTTTCCTCATTGTCCTTCTGTTGCAGGTTTAGTTCATACCAGTTAAATCAGATGCAAAAACTGAGATGAAGAGACTCTTTTAAGAGAATTAAAGTGGTGGACACCCCACTCCTAGCCCATGCTGACAAAGTGTTACGTTCTGAGACTCCCTTCCCCATAACTAAGCTTCTTTAAGCATAAGAGAATGCCTGCTCTGGTAATAAGAATGCTCCTACTCTAAGTACATTAGCACTGCAGTGCCAAATGAAATCATCAGACCTTGGAAACCTGTGTAAGAATTTCCAGGAAAATGATCAAAGCTTTGAAGTATTTGCTGGCTTTTTCTTGCCATTACAAAAAATAGAAGTGAGGGCCGAAACTATGGCATAGTGGATTAGGCCACCTCTTGCAATGCCAGCATCCCATATGGGTGCCATTTCGAATTCAGACTGCTCAACTTCTGATTCAGCTCCTTGCTAATGCACCTGGGAAAGCAGTGGAAGGTGCCCCAAGTGCTTTGGCCCTTGCACCCATACCAAAGACCCAAATGAAACTCCCAGGCTTTTTTTTTCTCTCTTTCTCTAACTCTGAATTGGGGTGAGGCGGGGAGAGGAAAAAAAGAAGTGAATGGCAAATTCTAGGTAAATCTTTGGCAAGAGCCTGAAAAAGTAAGAAGTGAATGATGACTGTTGAGACTTTCCTTTTTTAACAGAAATATTTTGTTGATGCTACAAATAGAGACAATCAATGCCCAGAGAAGGCATTCTGCCTTGAGAGCTACCCATTCTGAGATGTGTCCACATCAGATTCACCATGCCTTGGGTGGATGAGAGAATTGCAGTTCAGGAAGACACCCTGGTTCTGTCTCTTCCTTACATTGCGTTCTTGGGCCAGTGGTTTTATTTCTTGGAGCTTCATTTTTCTCATCCATAAAAGAAGAATGAGTTCAGCATTCAGCATTGCTGAAGACTCGGAGGTACTGTGTGATAAGCATCTAGCAGAGTTTCTACATCAGAGAACATAAATGATTCAGAATGAGAAAATGATCTTCACCATCATTTCCATATTACATTTTGATCCTTCTTACTGCAAATCAAATATTAGGATGACTGATGAGAGTAATTTGCACCTAGGTGCCACATCAGCATACATATGAGAGTATCTCAAAAAGTTCATAAAAATATGGAATTAAGGCCGGCGCCGTGGCTCACTAGGCTAATCCTGTGCCTGCGGCGCCAGCACCCCGGGTTCTAGTCCCATTTGGGGTGCCAGATTCTGTCCTGATTGCTCCTCTTCCAATCCAGCTCTCTGCTGTGGCCTGGGAAGGCAGTAGAAGATGGCCCAAGTGCTTGGGCCCTGCACCCGCATGGGAGACCAGGAGGAAGCACCTGGCTCCTGGCTTCAGATTGGCGCAGCTCGCCAGCTGTGGCAACCATTTGGGGGTGAACCAATGGAAGGAAGACCTTTCTCTCTGTCTCTCTCTCTCACTATCTAACTCTGCCTGTCAAAAAAAAATATGGAATTAAAATATAGCTCTATCTTGGTGCAAAAAATTTTTAAATCCATGCATAAATGAGAGTCTTCAAAAATTCATGAAAATAGTTTATTATGAAAACACTATGCATGGATTTCAAAAATGCTTTTCCCTAAAATGAACTCATCTCTTTAATTCCATTTTTTTCCTCATGGACTTTTTTTTTAAGGATTTGTTTATTTATTTGAAAGTCAAAGTTACACAGAGAGAAAAGGTAAGGCAGAGAGAGAGAGAGAAAGAGAGAGAGAGAGGTCTTCCATCTGCTGGTTCACTCCCCAGTTGGCTGCAATGGCTGGATCTACACCGATCCAAAGCCAGGAGATTTTTCCAGGTCTCCCACGCGAGTTCAGGGGCCCAAGGAGTTGGGCCATCCTCTACTGCTTTCCCAGGCCATCACAGAGAACTGTATCAGAAGTGGGGCAGCCGGGACCCGAACCAGCGCCCAAATGGGATGCTGGCACTCCAGGTGATGGCTTTACCCACCACGCCACAGTGCTGGCCCCATGAACTTTTTTTTTTTTTTAAGGTTTATTTATGTAGTTGAAAGGTAGAGTTTCAGAGAGAGAGCAAATGACCGAGACAGAGAGAGATCTTCAGTTTCTTGGTTCACTCTGCAAATGACCACAAAGGCTGGGACTGGGCCAGGCCAAATCCAGGAACCTGGAACTCCATCCAAGTCTCCCATGTGGGTGCAAAGGCCCAAGGACTTGGGTCATCTACTACTGCTTTACCAGGTATATTAGCTGGAAACTGGATCAGAGGTAGAGCAGCAGGGACTTGAACTGGTGCCCATACGGGAAGATAGTGGTACAGTTGGCAGCTTAACCTTCTGCACCACAATGCTGGCCCATATTAAGCCATTTGAAATACACTCATATATCTCTAATATTACATTCTCCTTCTTTGAAGTTTTCCACCACTGATCAAGGACAAATGTGTGATTATTGTCTGAACTCCTAGAGTGTGCATTGTTTATTCAATATAATTTAGTACTTTGGGAAACACTGCTTTGTATTGTCAAGTGATTATTTTCTGAATATTATACTAATTTCTTCATCCAAATACCAAATGCTTGAGGAAAAGGTTGTTTCTTCATACTTTGTATTCCTTATGGTTTCTAGAGGAATACTTGACTGAATTATGCAAGCAAAAGTGTATGTAGCAAAAAGTGGTTGGACCCCTGACACCCACGTGGGAGACCCAGATGTTGTTCAGGCTCCTAGCTTTTTCAGATGCATAGTTTCTTCAGGAGAAAAATATTTATCTAGAGGCCATTGTTGTGGCACAGCAGGTTCGGCCGTGGTCCGGCTGCAACACTAGCATCCCATATTAGAGCACTAGTTAGAGCCACAGTTGCTCTTGCTTCTGATCCAGCTCCCTGGCGTTGTACCAGGGAAGGCAGCAAAATAAATTCTAGGTAGCAGAAAGTGGTTGGACCCCTGCCACCCACGTGGGAGACCCAGATGTTGTTCAGGCTCCTAGCTTCGGCCTGGACCAGCCCCATATGCAGCTATATGGGAGGTAAACCTGATGATTGAAGACTCTCTCTCTTTTTCTCTTTCTAACTCTGCAATTCAAATAAACAAACAAATAAGTAAATCTTTAAAAAGACATAAGTGTGTCTAAATCAGATAGCCCCTGCTCCATGTATTACTCTTGTGAAAGTTTCTCCCTACAGATGAGTGTGAATATACAACAGCCACTGAGACCAACTTTTCTTTTCCTTCTTTTCTTCATATTATAGTACATGTGATACATTGGAGTATATTTTCTGTATTTCATAGCCTTGGCATAAAGGCCTAGTATTAAATTCAACAAACACTTAAAAATTCCTGGTTATATGCTAAGATCTATGTACAAGTGCAGAGTTAAACAAGACACTGCCCTAGACCTCAAGTTCATATGCTTTAAGGGGGAAGATAGAAATAGAAAAACATAAAACTTTTTACGAACGCAGGAAGAAAAAATGTGCATGAAATTGTGTGAGTACTAGTAAGAATATCAAGGAAGGCTTATTTGAAGAAGTGACTACAATGCTCTGTCTAAAAAGATAGTGAGTTGTTGGATAGCTGGAGTGGGAAATCCTGGGAATAAAAGAGAAGACATTAGAGGTGGAAGAAAAACAAGAGCAACAGCATGACATCCTAAAATTGTGTGATATTCACAGGTTATTGTATGTGAGAATTTCAAGTTTGCTGGAATGTAAAGTGCACACTGCATAAAAATGAGCAAGGTGCCTGAAGAAGGGTTCAGATCACATTGATAAGGAATTCATTATTGTTCCCATCAGCAATGAGAGCTACTGAAAGTAAAGGAAGGAC